CGGGTATCCCCCAAAACTCATCTTTATCGAACAACAAAAACAATCATAACAATGGTACTCGCTTTTCAGCGCTTGGTATCAATAATGTAATGGCTCCTGTGTGTTGTGGCAGTTCAGTTCAGTTCAGTTCCCCCATTGTTGGTTACGTGTGTGTGTAACCCGTTTCATATGTTCCCCTATTAGTAGGTGGGGTTAATTACTTGCAAGTATTCTCCTCTGTCGAAATATAGGAGGATTTCGCAGCAGCAGCAGCAGCCCAAGTCACAATAGCAATAAAAACAGCAGCAACCCGTCTCCATTTCAATTCCCGTGCCAATTGCAATTCCCATTTCCTTCTCTTATCTTTCTCTTGTGGGACTTCCGTACGCCTGCCCGCTTGTCGCTGCCCCTACCGATACCCTGACTGTCAAACCCTCGCCCCTCTAGACCGTAACGACGGCAGGTTGCGGCGAGCTCGATTGGATGGGACTCGGCGTAGCGGAAAAATCCTCGCTGGCGACCTTGGTGTCCTCGCTGATCTCCCTCACAGGCATCAATCGCTCCACCATCTTCGGCGGAGCCATGAGTCCCAGTCCAAGCGGGGGTTGGTCAGATACCGAGAACGGGGCCTGCTGCTGCTGCTGCTGCTGGAGCTCGAGGGTAGGAGCAGGGGTGGTGGCAGTCTCCGCCCCAGCCTCGGCCACCACTGTCTGCGCCGTCTCCGGCCTTCCTACTGGTTGTAGACGTTTGTCGATCCTCAGTACGGCGGCCGCGAGCGCGCGAACGCCCGCCGCTATTAGCTCCGGACGTTCCCATGCGAGAAGCCCCGGATCCCCGGCTGCGCGGTGCGAGTGCAACACGTCGTAGCGCGTCCTGGCCCAGGCGGGGCAGGAATACGGGGGTGCCGCCGTGGCGAACCCTACCTCTGCATCCTCGCCCCGACTGCTACCCTCCCCTTTCTCGTCTCCAAGGAATACTGTGAGGGACACGCGCGGCTTTTTAGTGGATTTCTTGCCGTTACCACTACTGCTATCGCTCCTCTCTGGATGTCGCGCGCAATGCGCCCAGAAGCGTAGGGCAGCCTCGGGGCCGGGTATCCACGCAAGCTGCGTGAAGTTGATGATCTCCGTTGGTGAGAACTCTTTCTTAGGCGCGAGGAGGCGTAGCCCTTTCATGACGAAGACTAGGAGGCCCGTGGGCGAATCGCAGAGGGCGTAGGATAGCGTGTTCGGTTCCGTCAGCCCCGCTCCACTCAGTCCAAATCTCGGGATCGGTGCCACCTTGGGCGGCGGCATAAAGGTGCCACCGCTTTTCTTGAGGGCCGAGTAGTCCTCGGCGCGGTAACCCAGGATAGATGCCTGAAAGAACTTGGCAATAGACCATTTTGCCCAGCTTAGAGGTGCCTGTCGTGCTCTCGGTTGAGCCAGTGGCGGGGAGATGAGATGTGTCCCGAGACATGAGTCCGGATATCGTGTTGCTAGCCAGTCAGCGAGCTTGTAATCGATCTGCGCCGGCGAGAGAGCCGCTGCACCTGCATTCGTCACCAGGTAATGAGGGTAGTCCAGGCGCTTCATTAAACCGTCAAGCAGATCCGCCGTGGAGGAGATGACGGGCGAGTTCGTCGGCAGCGGGTCACTGAAGCCTAGGCCTGGCAGCGAAGGGACGACAAGATGGAAGGGTTGTTGGTTTGCGTCTTCAGGTTCTGTGAATAGCCTAACTAGATGGGGTACAGAGAGACTGGAGAAGGGAAATGGGGGTATTAATAATAGGGGTATCACGTTTGCGCGTGATGAGCGAACGTGGATGAATTGGATCCTGATAGGTGAGTCGGATTGAGGAATGGTAAACCCCGTGCGGAACTGCGGGAGTTCGTTCAGTTTTTTCTCATGATCCCGCCATTGATATTGCTCGAGCCTGCCAGGGTTAGTATATGATATGATTTCAAACAAATTTCATCCTTTTGTCTCGTTGTCACGAGCCGCACATAGTCACTTCAAGATAGAGATAGGTGACAAGAATTCGAGACACATGCAACTCACCAAAAGTCAATCAGAGGCTCAACCTGAGATTTTGGCTGCCACCAATCCTTCGACCTAGGCTCATCAACCTCATGAGGTAATCGTACGATCTCAAGTTTCTGCTTCGTAAGATTAAGATATCGAGATAATACCTGGTTGTCGGGGATAGGACGGATTAGCTATGCTATCCATATGTTGAAACGCATGTTCAGATGAGATGGATGGACAACAATAATAATAGCAAGGGACTCTCAACTCACGTGTATCCTATAAGGCATGACTTCTCCTGCAGTAGCACCACTGTTTCTTGCCGCGGCATGTTCCTCAAGATCGGCAGCCATCATGATACAGCATCAATCAATCCCTTCTACAAATGGTACCGAGTGTTGGCACCGAGTATTGGTACTGGTATGTATCAGCACTAGATACCCAGTACTGGCACTGTAACGACAGATAAGGAAACAGACTTGTGGATAAGAAGGGATAGAACGAGCGTCGGGAATGGCAAAGACACCAATCAGTCAATCAATCAACCAAACAAAACATAGATGAGAGAGAGAAGAGAAACATCTGGTCTCTTACTCCCTATGCTAGGTACATGTATGGTATGGTATCACAGCATGCCGCTTGCCCGCACTCCGAAAAAAAAACGACTGCTCTTTCCATTTAATTATACACCCGTTTTAAGGGACGCAGAAGGGACCTAATTGCCAAGCAGGCTCTCGGTGGCTTGACTCGGTGTGGCTAACGGCAAGGGTCATACGTTGCCAAGCGTTGCCTGGAAGGGCCTAGTGCGATGACGCGCCGTTGCGAAAACAGGGCAGAGGCAGGTCTGGTAGCCAATGAGCCGACACTACGCGGGCCAGACCGCGAGACGGGTGTGCAGGGTCCTTCGGAGCTAGAAGCCAATAAAGTGGCGGTGCGCGCGTGTAATGTCTCACCTAAACAATCGACGAGTGATCGTCGTCGGGTGCAGGTGGCAGGTGGCTTGTGTTGCCGTTTTCGATGCCGTTCGGGAAGGTGAGTCGGTGCCGAGCATCATTCCCACCGCCAAAAGACGCAAATCATCACATTGACCGTTGATTGATTGCTGGCCGCCGACGGCGAGGCATGATCCATGTCACGAGAAAACACACTGAATAAGATCACAGCCGTTGTGTGTTTCATGTTTGAATATTATGCGGGTATGCCAATAGCGCTAGGCTCTGTCGTATCCACCTGGAGAGTCAAGTCGCAGGCGCCTTTCCAGCTTCCAGGCTTTTTCTTGCGTGCCTCCATCCATCCATCCCATCCCAACTTTACAGCCCAGCCGACCCAGCCAGCCAGCCAGCACTGCATTTTTAGCCCCATCGGGGCTGGCTGCGCATCCCTTACCTTCTTACTAGGACACCACCAGTAATATAATTGCAGCAGCCAAGTTTCGAACTGGCATATATGGCATCAACATCGAATGTTGACGTTGGAAATCGACTTATCTTTCCTCCTTTACGATTTTCCTCTGCTCGTCTGGGACCAATGGGAACTTTATTCAACCTACTGTGACTGCAATATTTACCAAGACGCCGGGATACCGGGACGCCGGAATGCCAGGATATGCTCGGATACGGGGACACAACTGTATTGCTACCCGATTGTTTTCCGCAATTGGTAAGTATTCTGGTGGGCTGGTGTCGAAGCAGGTATCTTGCTATTCTACCTGAGTTGGTTGTTGTTTGGTAACAGTCCAGGGCAAACCACGAAGACTTCACCCACCCTGCAGTAAATCTGAGCAGAGGGACAGATCATGCACATCCCAGTGTTTATAATGTACAAAATTAAATAAACTACAGATCTTGCATCGGGACATTGATTGTGCCGGTAAGGGTGCAGTACGGAGTAGGGAATTCCTTCTTAGACCAAACGCCCCTCTCCTCGTATATCCAAACCCGTAACCGGAAAGCAGACAATGCTCATGAACAGAGCCAAAAGATATTACAAGAACGAATGATTTCATCTCCCCGGACCCGACGTGAATTCCAAATCACCAGCCAACTTATTCACTCGCATCCTCGTCGTTGCCCGTCCACCAGCGCCACTACGTATCCAGAGTCAGCAACTACACTTCTAGGCCAGATATAAAGAAAATCAAGGACTTACGAGCACCTTGCACCAGAATATAGTCTCCATAGTGCCGAGCACGCCGATAACGGCATATACCACGAACTTGGTGATGCGGTTCATGCCAAGATTATGAAAACTGACTTTAAAGTCGTCTTCTGACGGTGACGAAGTTTGGTGAGGGCCAGGTCGTGATTGCGACGGTGATCCATTTTTATTCGCACTCGGGCCGGCCTCTTTCTTAACCGGTGTAGAAGTAGGAAGCGACGAGAGGCGAGTACCTGTAGTGAGACTCCTTGACCCAATGCGGTTGCATCTTATTGCGCATGTATTGATATTTCTCGAGATATTGATTGAGTTGGAGGGTACACTTTGGTTAGCGTGTGTCCGTGTAAGTGGTGCCCCTCTCAGTCCAGCTCCTAGAGCAGACGATATTAGGGAACGAACTGGCATTGTCTAAAGGGAAAAACTATTCGCGACTTTGATTAAAGGGACAAAATAGTAAATAATGAGACTAATGTTGAAGAGAAAAGAAAAGTATTAAGACAATTGCAACTTGGTCTTAAATATAGGTTGTATATCAAATGACTCCTCTGGCTTTGAGCCATACGGATCTAACCTAAATACGCCGATACGCCGTATTCCAATTAGCACGCACCTGCAACCAAACCAAAAAAAGTCCGACGGTTAAAGCTATAACAGATTCCTTGCTCATAGATGAACAAATAATAAGAAAAAGTATTATCGCATAATTATTGTATTAATATCCAGCCTAGAATATAACCCACTAAATCATAAACTTAGCACAGTCTTTAACCAATTCTTATCCTATGCATAGAAAGATACATGAAGAATTTGCGCGACGAAAGAGGTATTTAATGTGACATCAAGTTGCAAAAAATAGGTTGCTGTGACCGAGACTCGAACTCGGAGCCTACGCAGGCGCATATATGAGACATGGGAAGCGTAGATGTTACCCCTACACCATCACAGCCGCTGTCTATGGATCGTGAACGATTCCATCCATGTCGATTGTTGCGGGGAAGCCGTCTCAATATGCTATATATTTGGGGTTTAGGAGGGGTAAGTCGACAGGTGAGTTACGGTTTACGTCAGAAGCCCCTCCCCGCCTAGACTTGCCCACTTCCGCATCCGAGTCCATGCGGAGCGGGGCCCCCACTTGCGAGATCCCCAGAATTGCATAGGGCGAAACAATAATATTCGCTTAGGTACCTGAGTACTCCAATTTAGCGAGGACAAACAGGGGTGCACCTGCCGGAACCAGCCAAGTAAGGCTGTATGCGTTTAGACAGACCTAGGTAGGTATATCCCGATGTCGTGACCCAGTGCAGCGCACGGGGTCCCAGCTGTGAAGCTGTTAGGTGGATCTAACACCCATCCGTGACCCCACCAGCCTCGCTACCCGTCACCCAGGGCCGGGACGACGAGCACTTTCTCTGGTCCACTATCAGCATGAGCTGGGTACCTTAATAACGCTTGATCTCAGTCAATTCCACCTATAATCTACACGTATATACAGTACCTAGCCTATAGGCCCTACATACCGCTCACCACCACTACCTTATTACTCACCCCAAGTATCTGCCTAAAACTTCAAACAAAGTACCTAGGTAGGTACTAGGTACGATATTGCAAACAGACATATATCATACACTCTCGTTTCACCACACTCTCCCTCGCCCGTCAGCCAGCAAGCCCATCATGAGCGGCGCCAAAGGCGGCGACAAGATCGACAAGATCATCGCGCGACTCCAGGAGCGAATCAATGAGGGCCAGTTCTACGAGGCCCAGCAGCAGACGCGGGTCGTGGCCGCGCGGTACATCAAGGCCGCTAACTGGACCGCTGCCGTCGACATCCTCTACAACGTCGCCCAGTCACTACTGAAGGCCGGGCAGGGCGGCAGTGGTGGCGATCTCTGCGTGCTGCTAATCGACACCTACAAGCAGGCGGAGCTCAAGCCCGACCCCAACACCAAGAGCAAGCTACTGACGTGTCTACGTCTATTTGACAGCGAGGAGCCCACGCGCAAGAAGTACATCGGGGAGATAATATCGTGAGTTTTTCACACGGACTCTGTTGCTATTCCGTTCCTGGACGGCGCGTAGTTCTAGCTAGCTAGGAAGAGAGAGAGAGCTACGAGAATGTGAGGCTAACAGAAGCCTGTGCACAGATGGTCCTCGAGATTCGGCGAATACCCCGCCGGCGACCCTGAGCTCCACCACGTTGCGGGCTCCCTTTACGCAGAAGAGCACGAGGCGTACGAGGCCGAGAAACATCTGGTGCTGGGCACTAAGGATTCCCCTGAGGTCCTCGCCCGCTTGGAGTATGAGTGGTTCAAGGAGGATGACGCACATACGGCTGCCCTGTACGCCGGCCGAGCTGTGTTCCCGTATCTGATAACGGCGAACGTCCGGGCTGCCAATACATCCTACCACGTCTTTACCAGCGCGCTGAGCAACGACAGCGAATCCCACCTCGGTACCCAAGACGTCAGCAGCAACAGTGCCGACTTGCGCGTGTTCCCCAGCATACCACTCCTCAATTTCCTTGGCCTGCTTCTACTCGCCATCCAGAGAGGCAGCCCAGACCTCTACCGGCAGTTGGTGGCGAAATACGCCAGCCATCTAAGGGAAGTCGAGATGTGGAACGAGGCGCTAGAGATAATTTCCGAGATATACTTCGGCATCACGAAGCCTCGGCAGAGCAATCCACTGATGGACATGATGAGTGGCTTCTTTGGCGGCGGAGGTGGCGCCGGGGCGTCAGCAGGCGGAAGCGCGAGGAAGCCTGCGGTCAAGGCTCCGTCGTCGACGTCGACGTCAATGCCAGCCCCGGAGGGTCTGGATTAGCTTGTCGGCTTGTGCAGGGACAACCGTAGCATAGACAGACAGCCGGTATAGACATTATAACAAAACGGTACCCTTTCCTCCTTTACCATGTTGTTCAATGCACGCGCGGTGGCTCCTCGGCCTCGTACATCCAATTGTCCTCGGCTAACGCAGCTACCTTTGCCCTCATGCTCGCCTTGAGCGCCTCGAGCGCCTCTGCTTTCGTTGTCAGTCGCTGAACTTCGCACGGCCCATCCTCGTCTACAGTACCTTCGGGATGCACCGACAGCCGCGTCATCTGGTGGTGGCGGACAACCTCTGCTAACTTCTGCCTCTCCCCTATACATACACATCATCGTAAGCAAATGATTGACCTAAAACTATTGCTTACAAAGAAAAAGGGCGAGCTAGCGAGCTAAAATGCGTGCGTACGTTCGTTCTCCTGCGCATCGTCGAGCGCGGCTTCCTCGTCCTGCTCGTCGAGGGGCGGCGTGGGCGGGTCCCCAACCTCGAACTCGCCGTTCTTGTCGCGGATGACGATCTCGGACGTCTCGGATAGCACGTCGGTCTCGAAGCGCAACATGTCGATCGAGTTGGATGACGACGAGTTTGTGGTCGTCGTTGTCGTGCCGGCTGTGGTGCTGGTCGTTGTACCTCCTCCTCCTCCCACGCCGGGTCTCGTGCTCTCTGTCGACGTAGGGCGCCGCGTCAGGTGGCTCTGGAAGAGGTTTCGTCGCACGCCTGTTGCGCTCGTCGCGGCGCGCGTCAGCCGGCTTGCGCCTGGGCGGAGGTTCGGCAGGGGCGCGCGATCGGCCATCTGTGAATGAGACGGGCGGCGGTGAATTGAAGGATCGTGGGGGCCGGATGTCTTGCGCGCTTGCGGTGGTAAGGATATTGGGTAGGTAGTACGAGGCTCCGGCAGTTGTGCTCGTCGTTGAGGGTCTGGCTCGCGGGTTCTAGGAGGAAGCTTGTGATTCTGCGTTATGAGGTAAAGAGGGCTAGGGTGGAGTCGCGGCTACTATCGTGTGCCGCCGCGGGACATGGACAATGATGTTGTTTTAGTGGGGCATAACAACGTGGGTAGGTAGGCAACGCCCCACATTCCCTGTCAAAAACGGTAGCTTCTGTTTTAGTGCTTCTGATCCAATACTTATGATGTAGTTCATACCTACCTTGTGAGAATAAAACTATATCGAAGCCTCGTCATATACGCAAATTATCCTACGGATTGAATCTAAACCATATAGTAACCAAACATCTACGCTATCCATCAACGCCATTTTTATTTCTCATCCTACCTAGGTACGTAGGTAGTTTTTTTGGTGGCTCAACTCTGTTACTACATATGCAAACAGAGGGAGCAGGCATTCTTCCTCGGAGTTTCTGAAATAGTCAATATCACTTCCGTCATTTGTAGCATTCCATAACGATCAGCCATTATAATACTTCGTCATTGTATATGTGCCAATAGCGCCATAACCAGGACGTCCTCGAAAGGGGTCTGTTGCTTGCTGACACGAAGTCGACCCATGGGTGTTGCATCACCCGATCCTACTGAAATCTAGCCCCTCGATGTATTTTAATAGTCTGATCGTGGGAGCACTATATCTTGTTTTTGGGCATTCCAGGAAGCCTAGAACACCGCTGGGTAGTAGTACGTTGGTTGAAGGGTGTTGATATTGGAGGCACCATATCGTTGCGGCGGCGCATTTGATTGGTTGATTATTGTCTGGTCACCCAAGTAGCGGGGCTTCAATGGGACTTAGCACCTAAAGGTAACCCAGTACCAGCAACCTACCTACTATGGTGATTTTCATCAACTTACCAGAATCAATAAATCAACCCTAATCCATAATTATATCTATTCTTAGGATCCAGCCTCCTTTGATACTAGCTTTGGGACAGGTGGAGAAGCGAAAAATGTCCATGCCAACCTTCAACATCCAGCCGATTGGCCGTTTTAGTGGCCAGTCTGAGCTGAAGCGACCGAAGGTGTGTACCACCCCCTGAGACAAACCCAAGGCCGCATTTGATACCTTAATATTCACGCTCTTTGCAAGAGGCTGCCAAAATTCTTCGCATTTTAAATTGTAGCTAGCTAACTGTACTCAAGGAGATCGCATGCTTTTCCTACGATGACAAACATGAATTTCATCTCGACGATTCATCGTTGCAGTGGTACTATCCTCCTAAGTTGGGAGCAGACTTGTCTAAAGGATTCGAGAAGTTTGACAAACACGATGATTCGGTAGACGAGCATCTAGACAGCTTGCTGAGGGCTATAGTTGCCCATGAGCAAGAGGAAGGCAAGAAGATTGATGCCAACATTGTCACATGGCGTGGCATGATGACCAAGGTGAACAAGATTCCCAAAACTCGTTGACGTGAATGGGATCCTTCTCATGCGATCTTCTAGATTATGTCTGCGCCATTCGAAGACCGAGATGGGTATGTCAAAAATGGTATGAATGATGGCAACACCGCAAACCTAACTATCGTGTTGACGCTAGCTTCGAAATGCACGCGACTCTCTTTCAAGTGCGTATAACTACGAGTGACTGCCAGAGATGTTTCTACTAATATTATCAAAGGATTGCATGTATGGCTCTACATATAGTCATGCCGAGGTCAGACTGATCTAACAACGGCGTAGCTTCATCGAGGAAAACCATGCATCTAGACAGAATTCCAAGCAGCTACAAAACAAACAGCAGCGAGGCCGCCCGGGCCAGTTTTCTCCCGACGTCATGACTTACTGGGGTGAGATACATTACAACTACCTATGTTGCCTTCGGTGGCTTACCATAAATGCAGGATACAAATTTGAGGCACTGAGTTGCCTGCCGCGGCCCTGGGATGAAGTGAGCCGCGAGTTCATCGAAAACCGCGAAGAACATGTTGTCAGCAACAAAGCACAGTACTGTTCTGTTGTCCGCACGGGCATAGGCAAGTCGGTGCTATGTCTGGGCGGAGAGGTCGACGCCAGTAAGTCTAAGTGCCCCGAGTTCCTAATGCTCCTATTTGCATCGTATAACAGCTCTAATCATGTGATATATCCAGTCTGGGACTCGAAGCCTTCAAAGAAAGGAGCACCAATCAAATGGGTCGAGCTAAAGACAAGCGCTGAAATCCGTGATGAGAGAG